AACCCTGCGGGGGTCTCGGAAGGAAATGACCTTCTTTCATCCCCGTCACCGAGGACCAGGAGAGCCAGGGCTTTGCTGTTTGTCCTGGAAGAGGATTCCCTTCGCAGGGAGTGTGGGGGGAAGGCCGAGGGGAGGGTGGGGGGAGGGCCGAGGGGAGGGTGGGCGGAGGCCGAGGGGAGGGTGGGGGGAAGGCGGAGGGGAGGGTGTGGGGGGAAGGCCGAGGGGAGGGTGGGGGGAGGGCCGAGGGGAGGGTGGGGGGAGGGCCGAGGGGAGGGTGGGGGGAGGGCCGAGGGGAGGGCGGAGGGAGGGCCAGGGGGAGGGCCGAGGGGAAGGTGGGGGGGAGGGCCGAGGGGAGGGTGTGGGGAGGGCCGAGGGGAGGGTGGGGGAGGGCCGGGGGGAGGGTGGGGAAGGGTCGAGGGGAGGGTGGGGGAGGGTCGAGGGGAGGGTGGGGGGAAGGCCGAGGGGAGGGTGGGGGGAGGGCCGAGGGGAGGGTGGGGGAGGGCCGAGGGGAGGGTGGGGGGAGGGCCGAGGGGAGGGTGGGGGGAGGGCCGAGGGGAGGGTGGGGGAGGGCCGAGGGGAGGGTGGGGGGAGGGCCGAGGGGAGGGTGGGGGGAGGGCCGAGGGGAGGGCGGAGGGAGGGCCAGGGGGAGGGCCGAGGGGAAGGTGGGGGAGGGCCGAGGGGAGGGTGTGGGAGGGCCGAGGGGAGGGTGGGGAGGGTCGGGGGGAGGGTGGGGGAGGGCCGAGGGAGGGTGGGGGGAGGGCCGAGGGGAGGGTGGGGGAGGGTCGAGGGGAGGGTGGGGGTAAGGCCGAGGGGAGGGTGGGGGGAGGGCCGAGGGGAGGGGGGGGGGAGGGCCGAGGGGAGGGTGGGGGGAAGGCGGAGGTGAGGGTGGGGGAGGGCCGAGGGGAGGGTGGGGGAGGGTCGGGGGGAGGGTGGGGGAGGGCCGAGGGGAGGGTGGGGGGAGGGTCGAGGGGAGGGTGGGGGAGGGTCGAGGGGAGGGTGGGGGGAAGGCCGAGGGGAGGGCGGAGGGAGGGTAGGGGGAGGGCCGAGGGGAGGGTGTGTCGCTGGGTGGACAGAAAGCTCACAGATGGCGCAGTTTGGATACAGTCATTTCATAGCTCAGCTCCCTGTGGGGAGGGGAGAGGGAAGATGCGAGCTCACATTTATAGTTCCTGGCCCTTTTCTTCAGTAATTACCGCCCATCGGGTTCCATTAGGGATGTGGCCCAGGTCTGAGAGGGGCCTGGAGAGGGTGACGGCGGAGGAGGTCAGCTGGGGAGCGGTGCCCTCAGACAGCGGGTTCCATCGCAGTCTGAGCAGAGAGGAGGGGCGCCGTTACCGTGCCCGGGGCAGCGAGGAGAGGACTTCGGGGCTGAGCTCGCTGGGGAGGGCTGTGGGGCGGTGAGGTCTGGACTCTCAGCCTCCAGAGCGGGATTGTGAGATGCAGGCCGGGTGTCTCCTGTAAAGATTAGCTTATTCTTCAGTCCTAAAACACTGATAGTTCATCTTTATTTTTGATAAGCTGCATTTTAAAAAAATATACTTATTGATTTCAGAGAGGAAAGGAGAGAGGGAGGGATAGAAACCTCAATGGTGAGAGAGAATCATTGATCAGCTGCCCCCTGCACGCCCCCCTCTGGGGATTGAGCCCACAACCCAGGCCTGTGTGACAGGCCGTTGTTATACTGTGTGGTAGATAGATATCGAGTATTGATCAGGGAGTGAAAGCTATTAAAAGGTCCAGGTGCCAAGGTAAATAATTGCTCTAGAAGCTTCCGTAACCAGTTCGCGAGGCACACACGTGTTACTTAGCTATGGTAACTAAGCTATTCTATTGAAAATCTTCCAAAGAATAAGGAAGTACCACCAGTTTTTTATTTGCTTTTATGTAAAAGATAACATGAACTCATCAGGAATGAAGAGACATTATTTATCTTGTGTAATTTTTTAATGAGCAAATGCTCCACATCGCCTGTCACTTACCAGGTTTATAAAGTGTTCAGTCCCCTTGATTTGCAGCTGTTTAAACCAATCACATTTATACCGCCTTCAGCTGCCGGGGTTCTCGTCCCAGCACTAGGAAGCGTTCAGCAATCTGGAGAAAGAAGCTGCCCGTAGATTCAATAAGGAGTCCAAGGACGGAAGATAGTTTTCAAAGGAATTGGGGGTCAGAGGAGTTTCAGCCAAAGGAACCAAAGACTTCTCTAGACTCAGGATCCCGGGCTTTTTATCAACACAATTTGTCCTAAGGCAAGGTGGAGATAATAGCCTTCCAGGGTAGGGTTTACAGAAGCATTGTCAGATGGGGGAATAGCCCACAGCTGTTGAGGTGTTTGGTCCACTGGAGGCAGTAACCTGCAGACTGAGATGCCCCGAGCTGTCTGGCAGCAGACAATCATCCTATTCGGGATTGGGGGAGATGCTTTTTAGCCGTTCCAACAGGGAATTACACATGTGGCTCAGTCCTTATTGAGCCCCCCCAGGCTTCACCAACCTTCTGATGAGACTATTGTAAGTAGGACGCGCTGGAGTCGGTCCCAGCATCCAACAGAAGGGATGTGAGTACTGGAGTACTCCAACCTCTGTTTGACGAGAGGCCCTTCTCTATCATTTCTTCAGAAAACACGAACACTTCCACCTATGAACGTCCTGCTTTCCTAATTCTGGAAAATCCGCTGAGTGCTTGTCTGCACTCCCATGTCCTTTTCAACTTCCAGCAGCAAAGGTATTGTCAGAGCACCAAGAGTCGCCGAATGACAGTTTGTAGACAACCTCCCCCACTCCCACCCCCAGCGTATCACCCTATCATTTATGCCCGCTGTTATTTTGAACTGTTAGCTCCACGTAGAGAAAGTCATCTAAAGTTCAATGAAAATGTAGCCTGTATGTGAGTATAGGATATATTGGAGAGCAACGTGTTTGGTTGTACTTGGCCAAAAAACAAAACAAAATAAAACAAAACAAAAAAATCAAAACTTAGTTGAAGAAAACAAAAAGTATGCTGGGCTTTTTGGGGGTGGAACGGTTAAAGATGTACGTGTTGCATTAACCAATGAAAGACGTGGTCAGACGGCAGCATTAGTAATATTTTTTGAAAGCTAACAGGGTTGGGGAAAATTAGAGGTTTGACAGGCTTCCTTTGACTTCATAAACATTTTTAAATTTCATGAGGCTGTGGACTAGATGGTGCCGAAAGAGTATAAAATTGAATGCATTATGCTTCTAACATTTAAAGAATCATTTGAATTGGAAATGGAGATTTTTTTATCTTTTAAAGTAAAAATACATTCAGAAGAGCAGCTCATAAACACCTTTGGTTTTTGGTGAAACTATTTAAAGTGCCCGGTGCATGAGCAGCGCTAATCACTTCAGACAGGAAATAATCCCGTCACTTCCGAGCATGTCCTCTTCCTGCAGAAAGACGGACAGAAGCAGGCCCACACTGATTGTTTTCCGGTCGGTGTTTCTCTGCTGTTCTTCATTTTGTCCCATCTCGTAACATATTCCAAGTTGAAAAGTATTTCCCACAGTGAGCATGGATTTCCGACAATGAGAGAGAGAAATAAATCCCTGGGCCCTGACCGGTGTGACTCAGTGGATGGAGCATCGACCTGTAGACTGAAGGGTCCCGGGTTCGATTCCAGTCAAGGGCATGTACCTTGGTTGTGGGCACATCCCCAGTGGGAAGTGTGCAAGAGGCAGCTGATGGATGTTTCTCTCTTGTCAATGTTTCTGACTCTCTCTCTCTCCCTTCCTCTCTGTGAAAAATCAATAAGATATATTAAGAAAAAGAAAAAAATAAATTGGCGGGGATGTTAACTTGAATTAAGTTGAGTAGTTTAAGGAAAATATTTACTTTGCCCTAATATTTTGGAGCATTTTCGTTGCTTTTTAACAGTCTGGTTAACAAAATTACTTGGGTGATTTCTTATTTCAGAGACTAATAGTTGCACAAAATCAACAGGGAAATTACCATTTTGCAAATAAATAAATAAATAAATAAAATAAACAAAGAACAACAACAACAACAACAACAAAAGAACTAATTCTGTCTTTCCCTTTTCTCCCTCTTCCAAGACAAAAAAGCCGCCCGAAAGTCCCTGGGGGACTCATAGCCTAGTTTTCTGCTCCCTTAGCCAGTCTGTTTGAAAGTCCTGTCCGGGGCGGACAGATCCCTTCCCGCGATGGAAGAATGTGATAAGACTCAGTCTTCACAGCCTGAGAAGATAACACTAACTCTATTATTCACCGACCCTGCAGCCCGTTAACGCTGAGAACGCTATGTGATTTAATAAACAATGGCATTGCTAGGGAGATAAACATATTTTCATTAAAATGATAAATTCCGCCCTAGCTGGTTTGGCTCAGTGGATAGAGCATTGGCCTGTGGACTGAAAGGTCCTGGGTTCGATTCCGGTCAAGGGCACATGCCCAGTGGGGGGCTTGGAGGAGGCAGTGGATCAGTGATTCTCATCCTTGATGTTTCTCCCTCTCCCTCTCTCTCCCTCTCTGAAATCAATAAAGTACGTTAAAATAAATAAATAAAAATAAGAAAAAGGTAAAGGTAAAAGTTACGAACAACAAAAAGACATCAAATACATACCTACCAACAAGTGAATCTAAAAATCAAGTGAATGAAAAATCTGAAGAACAAAATGGACTGGTGAATATATTATAATAGAATCAGGGGCATAGAAAGGGAGCGGACAGACAATTCACAGGGGAAAGGGGGTCTGAGGGGTGAGGGAAGAGATTGTACAAAAGTCTTACACCTATGGATGAAGACGGTGGCAGGGGGTAAGGGCATGGGGTGGGGTTGGGAATCAGGTGGAGGGGAGCTATGGAGGAGGAGGGGGGAAAGAGGAACACCTGTAATAATCTGAACAATAAAGATTTATTATTAAAAAAAATTTTTTTTTAGGTCATGTATTGTGACCTCTCAATTGAGACTCACATGTGTGTAGTTATTAACTCTACTAAGTCCGGTTTCAATTTTATTTCTAGTTCTGTGTGATCCATCCGACACTGGGGGGAGCGTGGCGGAAGGAGGGCGCGGCTGGCCACGCTGATCGGAGCTGCCCCGTCCGGTGTCTGTCCTGTCCCGGCCGACGCCGCCCGGTAAGGAGGAGACTTTGTCCACACACTTGACACCTTTTGGAAAGAAGATAAATTACAAAAATGCCTTTATTTTGCACCAATCATTTAAAAAGAAATGGGTAAAATACATCAAAGCAAAATGAAATCACAAATGAGCCTGTTTTCTAAAAATAACTTCTATCACTTTTGTTCTCTATCATTTGATTTTTGTTTTGTTTTGTTGGTTTTTTCCCTGTATACAAGGTGAGATAATATTGTATGTGTTCTCTGTTGAATTTCTTTATGTTTGTAATAATCTATTTTAATCATCAGCCATTTTTGAAAGTGTTTGCTGACCTGTTGACTTATATATATCTATATGTCTATATATCTATATGTCTATATGTCTATATGTCTATATGTCTGTATATCTCTATATATCTATATCATCTATATATACAATGAGTGGCCAGATTATGATGATCTCTGAATGCATAGTAATCTGGCCACTCAGTGAATTTGTATCTCCAATGGGTACCAAAAGTATTCTAGACTTTTTCTGGAGATCAGCCACCTATTTGCCCTGAGCTTTTTACCAGCCAGTGCAAAGGGGAAAACTGATCAGATGCACCATTTATAGTATCTTTGGTATCAAATCAATGAGGTGCTCAGGAGAAGTACACTGAGTGGTCAGTACACGTCATAGCGAGTGATCAAACTCACAGTCTTTCAGTTGAACTCCTGAGGGGACACGTTGCATATTAGCCTTTTATATATATAGATGTGGTTGTACTGAATGGTTCCTGTGTAAATCCTTTGCTCTTTGAATGCAATAGGGAAACCTGGCCAAGCGATGCTCATCAGCGATGGTAGTCTCTATGTTGTGAAGTGGTGAACTGCATTGTGGGTCTTGTAGTGCAAACTAATTATGTATGCTCCGGGGTGTCACTTATTACACGAAAGCCTTCCCTGACTTAGAAGTAATACCGTTATAAAATGGCTTGATGTGCTTTTAGAGCGTGATGCACGGAGGACATTTTTAAAAGGACACTTTTTGTACATGAAGACAAATGGGTGAGGGCAAAAGAATAGGGTTTACATGAGTGAATCCGTACGGAAATGGGAATGGCCGTCTCAGAGCAGGAAATGAGCAAGCACGAGTTGTAAATTGCACGCCTGGTTTGTCAGGACGAGATCTGACCGTCTGAGCCGCACACTCTCTGAGCAGGTGAGCTTCTGTGACACCGCACCCGTGCGTGCGAGCCATCTGTGTCACGTGGTAATCACACCCACGTCCCAAGAGTCCCTATCAGTTACCTTCTTTAGAAATATGTTTTTATTGCTTTCAGAGGGGAAACGAGAGAAGAGAAAGAGATAGAAACATCCATGATGAGAGAGAATCACGGATCGGCTGCCTCCGGCACGGCCCCCACTGGGGATGGAGCCCACAACCTGGGCCTGTGCCCTGGCCGGGAGCGGAACCGTGACTCCCTGGCTCAGAGGTTGACGCTGACCCATGGAGCCACACCAGCCAGAGCGTTTTTAACGTGTGTAACTGATTTGGAAGAATTCGGCACATTTATGTATTTATTTTTAGATTGGGTATCTTTTGACTTAGGAGGAAAGAGAGTTGTGAACTAATAAAGAGCTCTACCTCCTGGGCCAAGTATTTCATAAAATACCTTGAAATATGCACGGGGTTATGGATTGTACGTTCTTGTATGGTTAATGAGGTAATTCATGAGTCAGAAAAATGACTACTTTCGGACTTAATGTAGAAAATAAATTAGATCCATTAAATAAATTACAAGGCATTTTTCACTTGATTTTTGAAAACTGCCTCCATATCTGAGCAACGTAATAAATCACAGATCCGGGTCCCTTTCTGAAAGCCGTTAGAATGCCAGGCTGCTGGGAAAGGCGATTAACCTCGCATTCCCACACAGATTTCCTGATTTCTAGGGGCCTCGAGGGGTATTGAGGTTTCTGGAATGCAAACTCCGAGCTTCAACATGAAATCTACTTTACATATTTTCATGTTCTTCTGACCTTTCCTACCCAGTTTCAGAATGCTAAGCCACTATTCCATGAATACATGCTGGATGATATGGTGGTGCAATTAAAACGCTTAAATTATTTTTAGGTAATTTCCTTTTTTTTTTTTTTTTTGGCATTACCGACAGATAGCACAGGACAATCAACGCCTCATAATAACTTTCCCAGAAGGCCGGGCGCCGGTGGGTCCCTGCGGTGCGAGCAGTCTGGGCTGTTTCCCCCTCCCCCCCGACATCACATTTTGATAACTGCCTAAAATAGAATTGCTCGCTTTGCCTCATTAATAAAAATATTTGCTAATCCTGACCTAGGAGGAAATAGAAGAATGAGGGTGTTTAAGGACAGTTCCAAATTCAAACACATGACTTGTTAGTAGCTACGAAGTAAGCAGACCCTCTTCCTTTCTTTCTTTCTTTCTTTCTTTCTTTCTTTCTTTCTTTTTTTTTTTTTTTTTTAACATTTTTGTGTATTTATTTTTTGATCCTCCCCGAGAACATGTTTCCATTGATTTTTAGGAAGGGTGGAAGAGAAAGGGAAAGACAGAGAGAAACATCGATCTGAGAGAGACATGCCGATTGATTGCCTCCTGCATGCGCCCCGACCAGGGCCCAGGCCCCGGGGGAGCCACGTACCCTTGACCGGAATCGAACCTGGACCCTTCAGTCCACAGACTGACGTTCTATCCACTGAGCCACACTGGCCAGGGCCAGTCCCTCTTTCTTAAAAACAGTGTTGAATATACTCGGTGAATGTCTACACTGGAAATAAGTTTCTTGGTTCATGGCTCTTCTAAAAATATAGAGGGAACAATAATTATGCTAGAAAAGGAGCATTAGCTTGCATTTTACTCCTCTGAGTGGGGATTTTGACTTTTTTCCAAGCGAGTTTGCACACCCTCTATCATTTAGTCAGACCACCCAACAAGAGTTCAAATGACGTGTCCTGTGCAAAATTTGACTTTAGTTTTATAAACACAGAATTTCACCAGAAGGTCTGTCAGCTTGGACTTTAGGGGCCTTTTATAAAACCCAACCTTGTGTGGAGTTTTCTAAACCCCTGAGTAAGTATTACCCATCGGCCCTGGTACCCCACGCAGCATTAATCACATTAATAATAATAATGGCACCGGGCGGCGTGCCTCTGTGGTTGAGCATCGGCCTATGAGCCAGAAGGTCACAGTTCGATTCCCGCTCAGGGCACAGGCCCGGGTTGCAGGCTGGATCCCCAGTGGGGGGCGTGCAGGAGGCAGCTGATCCATGATTCTCTCTCATCGTTGATGCTTCTCTCTCTCCCTCTCCCTCCCTCTCTGAAATCAATATTTATTAAATAATAATAATAATAATAACGGTGAAGCTGCGTGTGGTGTGGTCTGTGACGGGCACTGCTCAGAGCCGTCTGCGCGGATGGACACCGGGACAGTTCGAGGCGGCTTCCGGGGGAGAAAGGGGTACGGAGCTGGCAGTGACCTTGCCCGAGGTCCCGGGCAGGGAGGGGCAGAGCCCAGTGGGTCCTCCCTGAAGCACTGAGCCTTTTCCTCTCGCGCACAGAGGCTGGTGACTAAGCCCCGGCTTTGCCGCTGGCAGACAGGTGCGATGCTGGTCCGTTCACACCGATGGCCATGCGTGGCCGTCAGCTCCCGCCTGACAGTCCGTGGGAAGAGGCGCCCGGCGACAGGTCTGGCACCCGGGGCGGGCTGGGGGGGCAGGCCTCGCTCACACAGGCTGAGGGTGCAACGTGGCTGCTCCGCGGCATGGAAGTATTTTATCCCCAAATCAGACGCCTCCTCAGCATCCCCGTCCTCCTCTCCCGACCTCCCGGAGCATGAGCATCAGCTGCAGGCGGGACCGCCCGGACGTCACCTTCTCCCGCTCTCCTCCCCTCCTCCTCCTCCGCCGAGGCCCTCAGACCACCCCCCCTTCTCCCACAGTCAGTGCTCAGTGCTCAGTGCTCAGTGCTCAGTGCTCAGTCCTCAGTGCTCAGTGCTCAGTCCTCAGTGCTCAGTGCTCAGTGCTCAGTGATCAGTCCTCAGTGCTCAGTGCTCAGTCCTCAGTCCTCAGTGCTCAGTGCTCAGTGTTCTGTGTGTGTGCTCAGTGCTCAGTGCTCAGTCAGTGCTCAGTCCTCAGTGCTCAGTGCTCAGTGCTCACTCCTCAGTGCTTAGTCCTCAGGGCTCACTCCTCAGTACTCAGTGCTCAGTGCTCAGTCCTCAGGGCTCACTCCTCAGTCCTCAGTCCTCAGTGCTCAGTGCTCAGTGCTCAGTGCTCAGTGTTCTGTGCGTGTGCTCAGTGCTCAGTCTCAGTCCTCAGTGCTCAGTGCTCAGTGCTCAATGCTCAGTGCTCAGTCCTTAGTGCTCAGTGCTCAGTCTCAGTGCTCAGTGCTCAGTGCTCAGTCCTTAGTGCTCAGTCTCAGTGCTCAGTCTCAGTCCTCAGTGCTCAGTGCTCAGTGCTCAGTGCTCAGTGCTCAGTCCTTAGTGCTCAGTGGCTCAGTCTCAGGTCAGTGTCAGTGGCCTCAGTCCTTAGTGCTCAGTCTCAGTCTCAGTCTCAGGCTCAGTCTCAGTGCTCCAGTCCTTAGTGCTCCAGTGCTAGTGCTCAGTGCTCAGTGCTCAGTGCTCAGTGCTCAGTGCTCAGTGCTCAGTGCTCGGTGCTTAGTGCTCAGTGCTCAGTCTCAGTGCTCAGTGCTCAGTGCTCAGTCCTTAGTGCTCAGTGCTCAGTCTCAGTGCTCAGTGCTCAGTGCTCAGTCCTTAGTGCTCAGTGCTCAGTGCTCAGTCCTTAGTGCTCAGTGCTCAGTGCTCAGTGCTCAGTGCTCAGTCTCAGTGCTCAGTGCTCAGTGCTCAGTGCTCAGTCTCAGTGCTCAGTGCTCAGTGCTCAGTCTCAGTGCTCAGTGCTCAGTCTCAGTGCTCAGTGCTCAGTGCTCAGTCCTTAGTGCTCAGTGCTCAGTCTCAGTCCTCAGTGCTCAGTGCTCAGTCCTTAGTGCTCAGTGCTCAGTGCTCA